CCGTTTTACAACGATTTCCGCGTCCATTTCATTCGGTAACGAGCCCTCGGTCACGTACCCGGCTGCTGTCGGAACGAGCCGGCAGATCCACACGCGGGGCCGCGCGTGTCCACCGTTCCCTCGATCCGTCGAAAATCAGTCGAAGGCACGGCGGAAAGAAGAAATGTCCCGGTTTCCGCTCCGATGATTGTACATTACGATTAACCCGCAATTATTTCCAACGAACGAGACCGCGGCCTGCCATTGCTGTCGCTCTCTCTCTCTCTCTCTCTCTCCCTCTGTGCGTTCTCGAAGATTGATAGGTGACCAAGAAAGTATCGCAGAAACGAATGATCGAATAAAACGTCCGTTTTCTAGAAAGTGTGTTCCGTCGAGTGGCATTTCATACGACGACTCAATTAATTGTCCCTGTGATCTACATTTCCGCGAGATCTACGGTAGCCTCTAACGCGTTCGGCGGAAGATCCATAAATCGCGGGATCGCGTTAAACTAGCTCTACGAGGATAACAAATTTTCAATTATTCCAGAGTCTAATTAGGCGGCCGGTGATGAAAGATATGTTCATCAGCGGTAGTAGAAGAATCCTCCCACGTTAAACGTGTTAGCCGGTGAACCGCGGATAATCCTCATCCGGAATCATTTAACGCTTCCAGCGCTTAATCGCTCGATCGTAGAGTGGCATAAACCATAAAGTAAACGCGCAAACAAACGAATGATTGTTAGAGCGTCAACCCGTTAAATCTCAACACCTTTACGATCAGCTGACCTGGAATGCGCTCCCCCCGACGCCGCGACGGCCGCAGCAGAGAAATTACTCTGCGTCGATCTTCGTTCAGCCGGCACGAACGATTGTACGCGTGACGTTTCACGAATTTCTATCCAATTAAGCGTAATTACGGGAGCAACGTACCGGAAGAAGACCGGGATCCTAATGACACGTGACGAAGGTGGAACGAGACCTTTTATCCCAGAAACGCCCCGTTCATGCCGCGACTGCCGATTCTCGTCCGCGCCTCGTCCCTTCTCCTCTCGTCTTTCCTGTCACGAACGCGCCGGCTTCCTGACGGAGCTGTCCGCGAAAACGCGCACGCGTATGCGCGCACCGGCACTTTATTTCGGCAAAGTAACGGTGTATCGCGAGGGGGGCCTCGCGTTTCGACGTTGAAAAACGACCGAGGGAACCAGCGCGCCCGGTAAAAAGAGGCTAAGAGGACGTCCTTAAAGAGGAACGTTTGACGAAGGATCGGCGAGGAGACAGCTCGCGTTTCGCAATTCTCCCTCGTCCCCTTTGATCGACGGAACTCCGAAGGGAGCTCTTCACGGACGAGAAGAAAATTCCTCGAGCAGCAATTCAACGGACGAGATTCCGTGCCGACGAACAAAAAGACGGTCCCAATCGGCGTGATGAGTTCAAGTTTCGTATACAAAGTGTCCGTGCGCCGTAATGATCGGAAACGCGTCGCGTGCGGCTCACCTGTCAGGATCGGCGAGGTTGAACGGCCGAACGCAAGACCAGTGGCTGATAACGCAGGTCCCTGCACCTGGCTGGCAGCTCACCGTCGGGCGAAAAGGCAGTCGGCTTACCTTACTCGCAGGCGGCTGGCAAAAACGAGCTGCGCGAGGATAATAACCGGTTATCGCCCAACAGTCTTTCAGTATTTAATCGTAATGATGACGCGCCCACCGATTATCCTACGTATCATCCTCTCGAATCGCACCCCCGACAGGATTAACGTCGAGCGGAGAACCCCCAGGACCCGGGGGAGGATATTTGTCAGTCGGATCGGCTGGCATGCTTTTAATTGCCGTGGAGCTCCGTCGAGACGCGTTAGACGAAAAAGAAGCGCGGACGGGGCAGCAGGAACCGGTCGACGGTGATTCGCTGTCGTCGCGTCCGCGGACGGACAGGTCCGCCGTCGGGTATTACCTGCTGATTGCCGGGTTGGTTACCGATCAAGAGGCTGCGATTTTGTTTTTGCCGCGGATCGCAGGCGCCAGCTACACGCGAGATTCGAACATTAGCATTAGCGCAGCGCGGCCGCGGACGGGTGGGCCGGGGCCACCCTCGAAGGGGGCGGTCCAATTAACGATCGACCGGTACCATTAACGACGCGTTGATAAACTCGTGGCAGCCTGACACCGGCCGAGCTGTTACGAAATCCTGTAGCTTTCCTTCCCCCGCCGTCCGTCTTCCGAGCGGTGCCGCTGCTTTCTTTTCTCTTGTTTCCTCCTCGTCGCTCTCGGTCCCTCCGCGGCGGTAGCGACAGGTTTTCTTTTCCCTCCAGAGGCCGACCTTCTGCAAGGTCTCCCCGCGAGCACAAGTTCGCGGCAGGAATGCGTGACTCGACGATTTTATAACCCGCTTTCAATTACCATTCCTGGTGCTCTTGTTTCCCTCGGGGTTCGCGCCGCCGGCACGGACCAGAAGAAAACCTCGAACGCCGCGGAATGTGCGCGCGCCCGTCCAAATGCCGGCCGGATCTCTCCCGGAGAGTTTGTCCACCGCGTCTTCTTACCCCGACCTTTCTCCCTTTCTTCGTTTATCCTCTTATCCCTCCGGCGGACGCGCGAGAATCCCATCTTTTTCTACTCTTTTCGCTCGCGCTGCCACCGGCCGCCGTGATTTATTCGACGTCGGCCTGCCCGGAGAATCGCCGCGACGCGACAGTCCGCCGGCGGAGAGGGGCGAGGTAGCGGCTGCAGGACGGAGTCTCGAGGAAACGAGTTATCCTCCTTAAGGAGGTCCGGCCGCGATCGGCCTGGACAATTTGTTTTGGCTCGTTTGCCGATGATACGGTCCCGTCGTCGACGCCTCCGTTCACCGGAACGCGTTTACATGGCGAACAAGGTTGCGGCTCAATGGAGCATCATTATCTCCGCGGAAATGGCCGAGCGAGTTGACGCGTTCGGTGCCGCTGGAAAAACGCTACGGCCATTCACACCCTGCACGATCGTTCTTGCTTCTCGAGGAACTGGAGAATCTTCCTTTTCTCGCACTGGCCGAGCGAGACGGGGGCGATGACGGTTGACGGAGAGCGGCCGTTTAAAGAAGGATGACCATCTTTGATTTCGCGATTGCACGCGATTAACCTGCGCTCGTTCGGCACACCGTCGATTAATCGGCGGATAACGTTCGGCGAGCTGGCCAGATTATACGCGACAGCAGCCTCTCGGAGGGAAAGTGTTCCCCGTTGGCAGCGTATTTCGCACCTGGATATCGTTAGTTTCTCCCTTACCGATGCTAATAAGTTAATCTGCTCGCTGGGCCCGTAACACGTCGTAAATACCCTTAAGCCGGATTACACGAACTCCGGTGGACGTTGCTCGCATAATGCAGCGGTAGCCAATGACTCTCGTATCTCTGTCGATTAGCAGGTACTCGGCCGAGAGCGAATCCTCGAGTCGCGCGTTTCATCCGCCTCTCGATACGGCCCCTGGCGAAAGGATAAATCGTCCTCTCGACCATTGTCCGCGTTAGATGGCACTGTTACTCCACAGGGACGAAGACGGTGGAACGTAAATGAAGGGAAAACATCGGGCACGCGGAAGTTCCCAACGAAGCGCGAGTTCTGCGAAGATACGGTGACCAGTTTCTTTCTTTTTCCAGTGAACCATGAGGACGTCGCTGGTTCTGCTAGTGTCCATCGTGGCGTCCGCGACGGCGGCACCTCTGCGAGAGATCGCCGGGCCCGACGCGCGGATCTCCCCCCGCGGCAAGGACGAAGAGGCCCCGGTCCCCGCGGAAGCCGAGATTGTCACCGGCAGGGACGCGACGAATCAACCGGCAAAAAAGCAATCGGAGAAGTCCAGCGGTGGAACGAACGATTCGAGGAGCGGCGGTTCGTTGCCAGCTGCGAATCTAAGCAAACACGCCAGAACCGAGGGTAAGCCTGATTCCGCGCAATCCGCGTCGAAGCTGTCCAACGATGCCAGGGAGAGAGTCTCGAAGAAGAATCGAAGGCACAAGGCAATCTTCGTCAACTACCCGATCGTTCCGCAGCTGCCGTTTTCGAACATACCCTACGACGTTGATTACACCGGGAACAGCTTCGACGCGGAGGATGATGGGAAGAGGTACGACGAGAGCAACATCTTCTACATCCGGCTGCCGCCCACTCCGTACATGTTCGTCCCGGGATTAGGCTACATCTCGCAGCCTCCAACCTACTCAACCTCCAGCCTGCGACCTCAGATTTCATACAACAGACCTGCCCGACCGAAGCCTGTCTACCAGCAGCCAGTCAATCCCTTCATCAAGCTACCGATCGACTTCGTGAGCAACGGGAAACCGACGTCTGTCTATCAGTGGCAGAAGAAGACTGCCGGCAAGAAACCGACCGACAGTCCCATCATGAATCTGGACAGTTTGTCGAACGAGTTCGTCAGCAACGGGAAGCCCACGTCGATCTATCAGTGGCAGACCAACCTAAAACCAGCCAAGAGACCAGAGGACAACGCGATCAACAATCTGGACAAGGGTCCTTACACGTTCAACGGCAAGCCGGCCAGCTTCTTCCTCCTGAAACCCGACGGAACGAACTCGATACGTCAGCCGCTTCGGTATCCGGACTACCAGCAGGATAATTCCTACTATTGATGTACCGAATCAAATCCGGCACGGCTGTTCGCGGATCCTAGAAATTGATAGTCTTGCTCGAAATCACTGGCTTGGCGGAGTACCGGCACGATGAGGGTGCGCACGCGAGATACGGAATGATCCTCGTCGAACCACGCTCGTCTCCGCGTTATGATATCGGAGGAGAGTGCGCGACTCGAGCAACTCGAACGAACTGGCAAGGATATTCGATATATATTAGGTCAACTCTGCCGGCCGATGGACGATCATTCGCGTGTCGCGACTAGTAATCTATGGAAAAATCTGTACTTGGAATCGTTGCTAAGATACAGCGAGCTGATATTTCTCCGACGTTAGAGCAAACAGGAACGTGATCTCATCGGGATTTTCACTGGTGATTCACATCCTTGATTCCGAAGAGTTTAGGGTCCAGCTTAAAAGTATCACTCACGCTCTCGCTATATTTTGACGACGACTGTATCTTGTCGGAAAATCGCCACTCGAGACGACACAGCGGCGAGAGAGAAATTTCGCCGCGTGTCTCGATTGCGGTATTGATCGATTACCATGTTATTCTATCGACGAATGGCGCATCCCTGTCGAAAAGGTGAGAAGAGGCGTGCCTTCTCACACTCTGTCCAATTACGGGAGAATTTCCGCATTCCGTTCAAGTGCCTCCCTCCTTTCGACGCGCCTTAGGTTCGATGGAGGAGGAGGAGGAGGAGGAGGAGGAGGAGAAGGAGGAGGGAGAACCGTCGAAAGGCAGACAGTAAAAAATTCGCTAGGAAACGTTAGCATGATTAATTAACGATCAACGCCGGTTCGATCGCGTTTTCTTTTATCAGAGTTCGCTCGACGCGTCGGCAGAGCGAACCGGTCTGCCATACAATAACGATGTTTCGCGGAAAAAAGTATTTACGACGCACGTGCAGACGAGGGAAGGCGATAAAAATGCAGAGCTTCGGATTATCCGTTCGCGAGCGTTAATTGAAAATTCGATTTACGACGCTGCGAATGGTTGAAAGTTCGTTCCTGAACGCTCACGCGTGTTATCGAGTTTTTACGCTGTCGCGCGCCGACGTGTATTCGTGTGTCCATGATTCATCGATTAACAACAAACTAGCGAGGTTCGATGATAGTTTGATCGTTTCGATGATTAGTTTTCGCAAACGGATGTTATAGAAGGATAAAGTCTCTTCCAGGGCTTCGCAGAAGTGTTCCAATCTTACGATGCATATACGCTGTATATACATACGAGTATTTGGAAAAGCGAATCACTATTTTTCTACTTTTATAAAGAAGAGCACGGCGAATTTTCTAAAGATTAATTGCGAGAACGGACAACGACCGATGTTTCATGTAAAGGAGTGAATTATTTGGAAAACGCTAGGATGCGAACCGAAGCGACGCAAGTGTGAAATTTATCGGCCCCGACGACACGCTTGGAATTGTTTCCGACCTCCGTGTATCGTCCAACGGTTCACCCCGCGGATATAAATGAACCGCGTTTAATTGGAGCGTATTATTAAAGCCCCGGCTTGAATGGAACCCGGGGATCCCGGCGAGCGTGTAATTATTCCTTTACATGTATAGCTGTTATTTATAATGTATCGATATTTATACACGCCTACTTGTACGTCAATTAATTAACGAGTACGCGGGACCTGTACAATTTACGCGCGGATTTGATCGACGGCGAAAAGAATCGCGAACAATGACAGGAAACGCGACGACTGTTTGCTCAAGTGCTAGGCGTAAAACGCGTTGTTTCTCTCGTTTCTACATTTTCCAGCGCGATTCCACTCTGTCCCCTGTAACGCGCTCGATTATCAACAGTGTATTTATTTCCAGATCCGAGTGATATTTATGTATTTCCCCGTTATCGGAAGAATGCAGAGCTTAGGAGTCCTCTTCTTTCCAGACATTGTACATACGCGTGTGGAGAAAAATACACGAAAGCTTTCAAAAGCTCGTCTCTTACCGTCGCTTCTCCCCTGTTCGAGGCGAAACGAAGAGGTCGCCGCGCCTCGGTTTCCTCGGATCTCCGGGCTGCGTCGACAGGAAAACGTGTTTCATATGTTTCGCCCCGTTCCCCCGACTCGCGTAACACAAATATTGACTTGGGACGCGAGTCCGCCCGGGATTATATCCCGTCTGGTTACGGGAATACTCGGCGATCCACGCTACTTACTCGAAAGGGATTGAACTCCGAGATCACGATAATGCTTATCCCGCCGCGCGCTCGCCGTCTCGGGAGAACCGTCTCGGGAGAACCGTCTCGAGATCGGTCCCCGCCGTTGTGAATAAGAAGAATTTCATCCGTCCGGATTAAATTGGACGCGGGGGAAGAACAGATTTTCCGGACTCCGAGCCCGAGGAGAATCTACTTTGAAACCTGTCGGGGAACTTATTTAGGAGAGCCAGCCGGTCTATTCTGTCCGGAGCAGCGGTGAGCGCGGAGGGTATTTGCTTTTAAAGTATCGCCCCGTCGCAAACAAGATGAAATATCGGGGAAACATTTTCCATTCGAAGTACGTTGATTCGCGATACGAAAGACGGACGATGGATCGCGTTCGATACCGATCCATATTTCGTACCGTGTAATGTAATGGAAATTTCTCGACGAACACGACGGAGCGTCGATTACTCCGTTTTCGCGGACATTATTAATCCACGACAGGAGTACGTCGAAGGATTTAATGAAGACGCTCGAGACGGCGAGGGGTGCGCGTTCTTACTTGTCATTTCGAAGCAACGCGCGGCGGTCAATTACCGAAAAATGTGGCCCTCGAGGCAGAGGGCTCGCCGCCTGACATCATCGAAAAAGCGTTGTAACGGGTTACAAGCGGTTCTCATTCCGCGAGGGGGAATAGAGCGTCTTCCTGAAACGCTCCGCTCGTTCCTCGGCCCCGCGAGCTGAAAGAAGAGAAAACGTTCGTCCTGCGTCTCGGATGTGCGGTAATTTATTAATCCACAACTACTACTCGTCTAACGAATCGGCAAGAGTCGGCGGTCGCCGGTTTACTTGGTCGAATCTCGTAGTAACTAGCGATATTCCCTTTTATTAGACAATCATAATTACTGAATAATCGGTAATTATAAATACTTATCGGTAATCCGACTGTAGGACGCTCGTAATCCTTAATGAGAGAATCGGATGACGGTCAGCCCATCTCCGACGGCGTGTGTCGACGAGGGACGCGCCGAGCCGCGCGCAGGCAACAGACGCGCGCGTACAAAGTACTATAAATACCTTTTGTTTTTATTCGCTACACTGAATGCCATGGTTCGATACAATTGAGCTTCCTCCTATAACGTGTGTATACATATATTTATATATAATATAAGAATATAAAAAATGCTGCTCTCGCGGTCTGCAAAAGTTTTAGTCGTCAAAAAGAACCAGTAAAAATCGTTTGCGCGGCTATACGTAGAAAAGGCATGTACATCCTGTCGAGAAGAAGTTATATTGTCCAGTCTTTCTTAAGAATTCGCCCGTGAACGATCGCTCCGCGGGACACGGGACCATTACTCTTCCTCGTGCGCTCTCTAGCCCTCGTCCTCTCGGCCCCTCTTATCGTCTCGCGTCGTCTCGTCTCGTCTCGTCTCGTCTCGCATCTCGTATCGTCCCGTATCGTCGGAGGGATCGTTGGCAACAAGCGCGAAACGGCACATCGTACGATAGAAAAGTATCTGTTAAACTTATAAAAATATATTGTACAAGTTAAACGTAGCAACGGGGACGGCAGTCGATGCGCGATCCCCCGAGGGAGCGCTCACCAAAGGTCGTCCCCTTCCCCGAACCTAACACCGAGTACGGTATTCCCTCGATACATGCTCGCCGGCCTATTCCTCGTCCTTGCATCCTGTTTTGATTCGATCGATCCCCGCTTGAGCGGATGCTATCTTCTCTGTCGTCGCGTCGCGTCGATCCAATCGTTTCTGGACAACGACGCGCTCGGAAATTCGGGAAACGAAAACCGGGAGGCTCGCTCGCTCTCGTATAACGTTGTACACGGTCGCGTTGGATTACTAAACTGTCGTGTCCGATGTTTCGTCTGTCGAGATAGTTGCACGGGAATGGCATCGTACGAAAAAGATTTCCGCGGGTCCGGCGAGTGTGCCGGTAACGAAGGAATACCGTATGACGAAACGCAACCCGGTAGGCGATGCAAAGTTTCTTAAGCTACATCCGTAAATTGAAGTTCCCCTTTCGCGAGAGAGAAATCCCGACGATCTCCTAAGACTAACCCCTCCTAACAACTGTAACGGAAGTGGAACGGCTTTGCTGGAGGATACGCGTAACCTCGAGCGAGGACGATTCAACCGACAGATCGTAGTCTCTGTCTTTCTCTCTCCCTGTCCGCCTAGTTCTTCCTTCGGATTCCCTCGCCCCGTCCAATGTTCGCTTCCCCGAAAGGATTCCCCGGATCGTCGTGTTACGGAAACGCAAGAAGGTCGGCCCCTCGCGGCTACTTAGGCTAACAAAGTTCACGGGCCGTCGACGCGCGGAAAAACGCGCTGTTACGCACATGGTGTGTCCACAGAATGATCCGCGGAGGAATTAAGGTAATAAGGGATGATAGTAGACTGGCTTGCGGCTCTTCTCCATCACGTAGAACGCTTTGGGCTTGCCGTTCCCGGGGAAGTTCTTGTGGATGCTCGTCGAGCCGGACTTGCCGGCGATCGGCGCGTAGTACGACATGGCCGCCTTCTTTCGGTGTTTCTTCACCTTCGCCGTGTTCCTCGAGCCGTGAAGTTCGTTCGTCAGGTGGATCCTGTGCACGCCCGAATCGTTCAGCCTGTAGGTCTTGTTCGATAGGTTGCCGTTGCCGCTCTTCTTCCCTGAATCGGCACTCTTCTGATCGTGCTCGGGATAGCTGAGCCTCTTGTCGTTGTTCCTGACGTGCTTCGAGCTCGAAGACTTTTGACGAACGGTGATCTTGTTGGTGTCCGCGCTCGAGTATCTCCTGTTCTCCGGAACCGTCTCGTGAGCAGCCTTCGAGTCGGTCTGGTGAAGGTCCTGGGCAAAGTTCTTCGTCGCCTGATACTTGCTCGCGTCGTCGAGTTTCTTCTTGGCCTGCTCGAGCTTCAGCTGCGTCTGCAGCCTTTTTTTCTCGCCGATCTTCTTGACGACGGGCAGATTCCAGTGGTAGATCTTGGCGGGCTTGCCGTTCCCCTGGAAGCCTACCGGGAAGTTGGGTCCCGTCTTGATCACCTTCTCGTCCTTGGCCGATTTGTGCGGTTTCGTGATGGTGTAATACGGAGGACTGGCGGGAAGCTTGACGATGTACACGTGGCTGTCGCGATGACCGTGACGACGGCTGTACGGCTGATGGATTCGCGTCTGGGAGCCTAGACCGGGCGGTTCCGGGCCGGCCAGACGTTTCTTGTGGTGTCCGTCGGGGATCTGAAGCGGCGCCAGGCCCAGGCGGTTCAGGATCGCCGCGTTGCTGGTGTGGACCGTCTCGAAGTCGGTCGCGAGCTGCGAGCTGCCGATCGCCGCTGCGGCGAACACGGCCGACAGCAGCAGCGGCAACGCGTGCCAGAGTAATCTGAAAGAGAAAAAGTCCCGGGAGCGTTAGAACAGGTGGAACGACGATTCGTTTCATCTTCGCGGCTGCTCGCGTCAAAGAGCGCTCGCCAAGATTGGAACCTCGCGTGCGTCGCCGTTGAAGCTGCAGCTCCGTAATTACGGACGACTGATCAAAAGGTTGTCGCGCACCGGAAAGTCTGAGCTGAATCCGTTTACACTCTGACCGCGGGGAAATCGTACGAGGATCGAGGGAGCTACGCCGGCGTCAGCTTAAGAGACAATCCATCACGACTGCCAAGTCTCGCGCGATCTAAAAGAAGAAGAAGGGGAAGAAGAAGAAGAAGAAGAAGAAGAATCAGAAGAAGAGGAAGAAGAAGAAAGAACCGCAGTCGCGACGACCCGGCGAGCCGTCGCCGCGCCGCGCCGCGTCGCATCCGACGGCAGGCTTCCTCCTCGAGCGCAGAACGAAACCAGCCCCTGCCCGAGCCAGCCACCTGGCAGATCGTAAAGCAGACGGCCACGTCCAAAGAAACGAACCAAAGAAAAATATCATTGACCGTAAAAGTGACGACTCTGCCAACGAGACGACTTGGAATTTTACGAGCGGAGAAGCGTCCAAACAAAAACCCACAGGCGACCGTCCGACGTTCCTAGCGTGCGCTGCGGTGCGCTGCGGTGCGCTGCGATGCGCTGCACTGCGCCGGGCTGCGCCGCGCAGCGCCACGATCGGGACGGGCGATCGTTCGTGAAAGCAGCCACGGCCGGTCGCGTAAATGCTCCGGCGAACGATAAATCACCTTCCCCTCTTAATTACCCGGTGCACACGCGGTTGAACCTTCGCTAATTATTCACAGATCGTTTTTCCCTTTTTCCTCGGGTGACGCCTCATGCATAATGCCGTGAAACGTGCGTTCCATTCCATTAACAGGGGCCGGCCGTTAATTTCCAGGTTCGGTGAAAAAGCACGGTAACCCGGCGAGACGATTATTCGCCGGACGCCTCGAGGAGGGAAAAAGGCGGTCGGGGCGAAACTAGACGCGCGCCGCCGGCGCACCGTTACACGTCGTTACTGCGCCTTGCGTCACGACTAAATGGGACACGTTTTATTTACCACGCGCTTCGACGCACACGCGAGCCGGCCCGTCATCTTCTTGTTATTACTTTTCCGCCCGTGGCGACGCTTCATTTTTTATTCAACGAGTATCGAACGGGCGATCGATAAACTCGCTCGCGATTCGTCATGGAACGATCTCTTTGCCCGCTCTTCGGCTTTCCGACGACCAATGAAACGGACGAGCCATCTGGAAGGAGAGCCTGCGTACGAAATACGCTCGAGCAAAGAATAATTAAATATCCGGTTCGAAGAGCGTCAGTGGGTTTCAGAGAAGGAGAAGGTTTTAGTCGATAAACGCCGGTCCTGGGACGTCCGTCACGCGATGCACATAAATTAATACGCCGGTCGGGCGTCTCCCTCGTTGGAAAATTATTCCCGCGTCCGTCGAGTCTCCTCGCGTGGTCGTGCGGGGCGGCATGTGCGTGTCGGCCGTGAAAAAAGGAACAGCGCAACCGGGGGGGTGATCACGAGCTCCGAGAGTCGGAGAGTGAAAACGGCGGTCAAGAGTAATGATGTTCGCCGAGCGTTTCGTCGCGTTCGCTCGGTGCGCGTCTCGCGTTAGTTGACGCGTTGCGAACGACACAAACGGGACGCGGAAAAAAACAATGCCGTCGTTCAGACGCACCGTGGCCTGTAACATTTCCAAAGAACCTTTATCCGACCGAGCGCCGATCCGATCTCGTCCACAATGGCTCATTCACGCGAGTTCCCTGGAATTCCGTGGCCACGCCGCTGTCCTATCTGCAGGATCATCGCCGAAACAAAACCAACACGCGGCAGCGACGGGTATCGTTGTCCGAATGAACTCATTGTTCCGAAGATGTTGCTGCGAGGATTTACGCGGCGATTGTTCCCGGCACGGGGAGAAAAAGATCCGTGGCTCCCCCGGTGGGAGGGACGGTGTCCTGGCCGCGTCCCGGTTTAAATGTCAACGACAGCGCGCGTCGCACACCATAAATAGGAGAGAAGCGACGTCCTCCCGTCGGGCCGAGCAACTAACAGTAAGTGGATATAAACGTCCGCGAGCCCCGGGGTACCGACAGACAGCTCGCGCTCTCTCCGTCGCTCGGTCGGCGCGTAACTCCGCGCGCAAAAAGGCTCGCGATTACGATTCCGGTTGGCCGAGGGAAGAGAATACGCGATGCCCGTGCGCGCCGGCCGGTAGTCCATTACCGCTCGGACGTATTCGTCGAAAGCACACGATTGGCAGGTTAGAAGAACGCGGAAGGAGAAGAAGGCTCGAGGGGAGCATCGCTGGGACGAGGCTGCGCGACCCGAAGGGGCGAGGCGAACCACGCGAAAAAGAAACCAAGGGGAACAGACCCGGAGGAACACCGACCAGTACGAGAAGAAGCAGAAGAACCGGAGGAAGCAGAAGAACCTCGAGAAGCAGAAGAAGAGGGAAAGCTGGCGAGGGCACGAGGTGAGCAACGAGGAGGGACGGAGCGAACCGGTAGAGCGCGAGGCAGCAAGGCGCAGCAAGGCGCAGCACGTGCGTGTGCATACGGGTATGCGTGAGAAAGGCTGACGCTTGAAAACGCGTCAGCAACGCACCGGGAGACAGGGGGCAACGTCGTCGCACCGATGGAATGAAAGATGAAAGGGGTTGGCAACGATGGCGTGTTGCGCCGAGCCGAGATTAATCTCCACGATCATCGGCCGGATCACCGTTTCGCGGGCTATCCTCCTCGGACTCTCGCTTTAACTCGATCTAATGACTCGTGCTCTGTCAGACGGTTTAACGCGATTCCGATCTCGCGTGCTGCCGCTCACGTCCCGCGCACTCGTAGTACGCGTCTTGATCTTGACGCGAAAACGCCGGAGATATTTCAATTCTCGAGGACGGAAAACCGTGAACGCCTCCAGCTGCGACGGGGGCTGGCTGCTCTCTCCGCTGCGACTACTCGCGATCGAGATTTCTAACGGCGGATTAACCAATGCTCTTGCCGTATCATTTCCTCTCTATTCTCCTTCTCCTGGATTGTCTAATTATCGCGGATGCGGATTTACTTTGGAGTCGAGGACATCGGAGATGGCGAAATAGAAGACTGCGACGGCGAATGTAACGTTCCCTGGTTGGACTAGACGAGGAGCTTCATTAGACACCTCGCTGGTTTACGTCCGAGTTAAGGATCACGATCCGCGAGCAAGAGTACCCGAGGATTTCCACTCTATTCTAGTTTGTTACCGATCCCCAAACTTTATGTGCCGCTTAATCGGCAAACAAGGGGCACCGCGAGCAAGCGATAACGAGATTACTCGCTAGCCGTGCGTGTAGATCCGCGGATGATCCCGAGGCGGTCGTAATCGTAACGTGTCCATCAAGCGGAGATGAAGCCGGAGCGGTTAGCCGCCGCTGACGAACAGGTCTCGGCGAGGCGGCTCGTTTCGGTGTGCCCGCTATGCACCACGGTAATTTGTCCGGTAATTACCGGTCCATCGAGCCGTTTCGCAAACTGGCCGCTCCAAGCACGTATCCCCGTCCTTGTAACAAACTATTCGGCCGGTTTTCACTCGATGCAAATTTAATAACCCGTCCCGGGGAGAGGAAACGCGAGACGGCGCCGATTGATTCGACGACGCTAGTTGCCGAGCTCTGTGCTATTCGCGTTGCGTTCCCAGACGTCTCCCGCGAGCAAATTGGATACCCTCGCGCGAAAGCTTGGCCCTCGCATTGTAATTTCGCGTCTGCCTCTCAGAAATAACTGCGTCGCGATACATCGAAGATGCTCGCGAAGCGGTCGTTAAGATATGATCGATTAAACGCCGACAAATGAGTTAATCTTCGAGAAACTGCAGAACCGTACAGACGCGTCGCTCTTAACGACCCGGCTGCTAAATTGGGTAAGTCGATAACTCGCAAAATTGTAAATGAATCAAGTCGGTTCTCGTTCGGTAACTGTTATTCAATTATCGCGACAGGCAAAGCGACGCGACATCGATCTATTCGACGGCGATTAATCTCCCCAAGATTCCTGTGCGTCCGGTCGACGAAAAGAGATGGAAAAATCACAAAGCGGCGGGCACAAAGTGTCCGCCCAAGGCATCGCGAGGGTTAAACGAGGGGCTAACGCGGGACCCGCGTTCGTTTCACCGCGAGGCGAAAGCGATTCGCGTGGAGGGTGAGAGAGGAACCGGCCGGTCGAACCAGGCGGCGGTGGTTGGCCGCGGGGTTGTAATGGCCCGCGAAGCCTGTAATTTCTGTCCTGGTCGAGTTAACGTTCGACCGTTCGAGGAACAGAGCACGGGGAGGGGACAACGAGAGGGACAAAGAGCCAGCGCGCCACCCAGGCCACTACCAGCTAAGAACTCCCCGCGTGACTCATTCGAGATTCGCGATTTAACAGGTTGACGCGATCCGCCGGTGCCCACGAGAGAGTCCCGCGATCCGATCCGACCTCGGCAACCATCGAGACATTGACT